AGGGTGGTCGGTCACTGGAACAGGGTCCCCAGGGAAGTGGTTACAGCACCAAGCTTGTCAGAGTTCAAGGAGCGTCTGGACGACGCTCTTAGTCATATGGTTTAGTTTTAGGTAGTCCTGCGAGAAGCCAGGAGTTGGACTCGATAATCCTTACGGGTGCCTTCCAACTCGAGATATTCTATGATTCTGTGACTTATATGCTGTGCATGTGGCATAGATTTTCATTTAGTTTTCTGGAAAAATATTATGACTTATATCAGAGAAATGCTGGTCATGATTCCTTCTGGCATTGGCTAATGAGGCATCTGGGTTTTGTAACAAGTACTATCAAACATTACGTGCCAGGGCTTTGGGCAGTTGCCCGCAGGGGACTAGAACATTCTTCCCCTGCTCACACTGTTCTGAAGCAGCACTTCTCAACGTGTGAGGAGCTCAGGATTCAACTGAAGCACGAACGAACAGGGAGACAGGTAGAAGTGCTAACTGGTTGTGAGTGAAATGCAGTCTAAATTGCTCTAAAAGTAAAGTTACTTTTTTTGAGTGCTCTGAAGCACGCAGAATGGTCTCTAGAGGGGAAAAACAAGTGGTACTTTTGTTAGATGCCTGTCTGGTTTGAAATGCTGATCACTGCAAGTGGAGTCAAGAAGGAATTTTCTTTTGCATCAGACTGGCAGGAATCTTGGGAATTTTTTTTCTTGTTTTTTGTGTTAAATTCCATATGGTTTACTTTCTAGAATTTTCTGACATGACATTACGTATTTCCTTACTGTTATAGCGTAATGCTGGTTTATTTTTAATGTGAATCATGCCACCACCTCACTTATTCCATGGCCCCACAGACAGCTGTATGGAAACAAGAAGGAAATACAGGGGTATAAATGAGTAGCTGGAATGAAGGTGATAGAAGTGCATCCTCAATCTCTCCATCTTTGTCTGGGCACACAGTTTAGCCTCCTTGGGCCTAAAGCAGCTTTAGTTTAGTGTTTTATAATATATAATATATAATATAATATATAATGGCCTGCGATATACAGGGAATAGATTAAATGATCTAATTGTTCTTTCCGGATATAAACCTCATGAGACTCCATAGAGGTGATAGTTAATCTGGACCTTACCTTCTCCCTTAGGCTGTAAGTTTCTTTGTTGGGAAGGACAGTTTAAGGAGTTTCCTCCTCACTTTCTTTTGTCCATTACTGCCCTCTTCGCTACAACCATACAACTTTTTTGTTGGCCTATACTGGTTTGTTGGTTATAGGGGGGCGAGAGGCATTAACAGAGTAGGAGGATGTTCTCAGTCTGGGCAATGTGGAGGTGGGGCATGAGTAGTAGTCCTTGAGAAAGGATGGTGGTTCCTATACTGCTCCTAGCCCAAGAAGTCGTAGCTGCTAGTTGCTCTGTGTTGCCCGGAAGTCTCCCAAGGAAAACTGATTGAAGAGAGAGGCAAAATGCTTGATCCTAGTTAATATTTTCCACACTTACCCAGAGCCCTAAGATGTACTGGGTTGGAGGGGATGCAGGGTGAGTTGGGAAAGGAAGAGGGAAATCTTGGGGGAAGGGGGAATGAATTCCAGTTTTAGAACTGCTGCCTGGAGGGCAGATGTACAGGGGGGTGTTCAGCGCCATGTGTATCTGTGACCATGAGGCTGATTATAGAATTCCCTTTTCTGCCTTAGAATTGTGTTTCAGAAGCTCAGGTTTAATTTACAAAAGTTTCTAATTCTTGCATTTGCAGAGCAGCTTTCCTCAATATATCAACAAAGCATAAATGGATGTATTTCCATATAGATTAAATTGTGTGTCTAAGAAATGTGGATCTAAGAAACTGTGTAATCTGCCTTTCTGGATCTTGTGAACTCAGCATTCTGTTGCAAAGAAACACCAAATTTTTGCATCCTTTCTATCCCTTGGCTTACGGATTTGACCACAAGAGGGAGTGAACTGGATTTAGTGCGTGCTTTCTGAAAGGTTTGTGGGATGATGGAGGGTAGAACGGCTGCCTTGAAGAGCAGAATTCCTGTTTGAAAACACAGTCGTTGTGGGAGAGGAGAAATATAGCTTGACAAAGGAGATCAGTTTGAAAATGAGCAGTACGTCAGACCTGGTGGCTTAGGAAAGTAAGTTATTCAGGCTATCTGCAAGATCTGCCTATTGTACACAGGGAGAAGGTGGTTAAGCTGATTTTCTTGGGTAGCATCATGGGCCAGAGAAAAGTTGAGAGCGTGATGAAAATTAACCCTCAGAAATAAGGGTTGAATAGAGGATTGATTGTAAGATGCAGCCAGGTGCAATACCCAAATTGCATCTAATTAATCTTAATATAAAAATAGCACAGAAACCAGTCTTAAGGTGGCTTGTGTCACACAAAGGCATATCCTTCACTGGTGAAGATTGCGAAGTTTGTCGATGGTTCCAAATTACTCTGAGTTTCTGCCCCGATAATGATGCCTTGTAACCCTTGGGTTGAGGATTAAGCTGCTCTCTTTAGTTTTCACACTAATAATTCATGATGAATTTTGAAGGTGTGAATCCAAAGTAGATCTTAATTTCCCTCTCCTTAATTTTCAATAAGCATCACTCTGAAGTCCTCAGAGCTCTTGTTTTGAGGGTTAGAAAAACAGAGGAGAGTCAGTCACTGTGTGTACTTGTGGTGTGCATATAGCGGTATTTATGTGCATTTACTGTTAAGATTCAGCTGGATGGCCTATATAGCATATAAACAGCTATGCTGTAATTGTATTAATGTATAGAAGCTGAGAGGTGTGGAAAAATTGTGAATTACCCCAGTTTCAGTAGAAGGAAGGCTTGCAATATTTTCTTCCTTCTTTACTTGTTGTTCACTTTTTCTTGTGGGTTTCCCCAGCATGCAGGTTGCTGATGGTGAACATTTAGCACAGATGAATTAGCAATTTTGCCTATATCCAAATAAGTATTGAATAAAAATTCAGATAGTTCCATTTAAGGCAAAGTCTTGGGAAGAGACAAAATAGACTTTCCTCAGTTATCTTGGGAAACACAAAGGTGAATATGTTATCTCAGCAGAATAGATCTTGCATGGTATAGGAAAGCTATAAGAAATGGAAAAACATGTAAGAAATACGTCTGCCACCTTGAAATGAACTTTTGTTGCTGACTTTGTGCAAATCACCTCTAGGTAGTAACCAGTCACCCTCCTTGCCTCTTGTCCTACTTCTTATCTCATAATGCTACTAATATTATTTGTAAATGGATCGCTGTAGCTTTAAAATACATTAATATTTTCACAGTTAAATATAGTTTGTCTACAAGGTAGTAATCTGCTTAGGGTTCTGGTTTTCTTCATATTGTGTCTTTAACAATGCTAAGCTGGTGGCTGGCACTTAGTAAGTAATATGACATCAGATGACAACTTCCTCAGTGTAAATGATGTCTGAATAACAAACACTGCAAGGTCTAAACCAGCTTGTTTTGTCAGTCTGACCTTGAGTTCTCACTTGAAAATATTTGGCAGTGCTGCTCTTTTTTTTTTTTTTTTTTAAATACAGCTGTTGGAGATATTTTTGTAACTGAAATCCTTTCTAGCTTTCCATTGAACTACCTCTTGTCATGCATAGCAACCTCATTAGCACCAGCCAAAAACCTGGATTGTGCTGGGCCTGATTCTCATTTACATTAAGATCCTTACATGTCTTTCTGGTGAGATAAAGAACTTTTATACAGTATGTAGATTGCATATATGTTCACTTAAAACCTAGTATGAATATATATAGTGATGTGCACAAGCTTTAAGCATGTCATACACTGACAGAACTCAATATGAGTTCTTGATATAAGCAAGAACCAATCCCCTTCTCTCCTGTTCCTAATATATCCATTATGTTGGAGATAATTTGTGGTTTTGCTTGAAGAAATGCATACGTGTTTTGTTCATTTCCCTCAAAAACAGTTTAACTGCAAAAGATGCAGATGAGTGTCTTTCCTTTTGTTTGTCATCCTCCTTATTCCACTGCATTTGAGACATAAATGATGCTATGAGATAAAACTAAATTGTGTGGGCAGAAGAAAAAGGATCTGAAAAAAAAGCTTTACTTCCCTGTGGAGCAGTGAGAGACTGACCTCATGTGGTGTGAAACCAATGTTGCCAGGGGAAATACAACAAGGATAAAACTGAATAAACTGACTGTCTTTGAAAAATTATTCTCATGCATTTCTGATTTTTGTTGGATGCTGCACCACTTATATTTAAATATAATATTAGTTTGGATAGTTTGTGATGTGATTGCTGATAAGAAGTTGACCAGTGTCTGTATTCCCAAAGACTTTTTTGTGTCCTGAAAGGGATGCTCTAACAAGCTGACCCCAAAACAGCAGGCTAGGAGCTGAGGCCCAATTATCCTGGCTGCTGCCTGTGTGTGATTTTAATTGAAATGAGTAGGAGTTTCATGTGAGCAAGTGACAGGATAATCAGTCTTGGTTTCTAAGCCCTTTCTGGCACTTCCCCAGCAGCATGCTCATTCTGTGCCTTCACAGCCTTGCTCTGTAAAATGAAGACAGTGGTTAGGAAAATTATGAAGTGGTACCATGCAGAATGGGAAGGGTGTTCCTAGCCTGTATATTTTTTACAGGCATGAATAATATTAATACTGGAGACTTCTGAGTCAGTTCTGTTGGCCTGATTCATCAGTATATATGGAAGCATCCAGGTATATGGATAACAAAAGGAAGTGCAGTTATTTTGAAAAGTCTCCTTTTTAAATAAATAACATGAAGTTAGTTTTAAAGGATTTAGGGGGTAATGTGACTTACGGACTCTCACAGGAAAATCTGCTTAAAAATCCTTTGGGCAATTCAGGTGAACTTTAAAACCTCTGTCCCCATCCTGCAAAGACTTATCTATACGCTTAATTGTATCCTTTCTGTTCTTTATCTTGACTTAAATGTCTGAAATAACAAAGACCTGTAGTATTTTCTACAAGTACTCCGAGTTCTACATGACAAACCTTCCATTTTCTTCTTTACAGATCCTCTTGGAACCAGGGGTGATACAGGATGTCCTAGCAGCTGGGAGTCATTTGCAGCTGCTGGAGCTTCTCAGTTTATGTTCTCACTATCTCATTCAGGTGAGGCTTCTCTGCCTGATTAACAGCCATTTCTGTTTGGTAAACTTTTGTTTCAAGCCTCATTTCAGTAGCAGAGTATTAGTACAACACCTGGTGTAACCTAAATGGCAATAAACTGGGTTTCAGGAGACCTGAATTTTGAGTGTAATTTGGGTATCAGTTTGTGGTAGGTGCTTTCTTCTCCCATCCATTTCATCCATTTCAGTCCTGAAAACAAGGATGGTCCACTGATTAGTATCAGCACATGGGAGTTTGATTCCCTCCTTTACCAGAGAATTTGCCACCTTCTGTCTCAGTTTACCAAATGTTAAATATTTCCGTATTGTGATCATGAGTATTGTGAAGCGTTCAGATGCATAAGTGTTCACAACAGAATATTGATGCGTATTCCAGGGCACTACTACCTCTCACTGAAGGGGTAGGGCTTATTACAGTGGCACCTTATTCTCAAGGTGCCCATGCTCTCATGCCCATAATGCTGATAATATTATCAACATTAGGGCAGCAGAGAAGCAAAAAATCTGAATCCAGTAAAATAATTTTTTGTGCCTGGCTTGTATAGGAGATGGCTCACGATGGTAGCAAGAACATAGCTTTGATTTGTTTCTATGAAAAGCCTTATTAAAAAAAATGGCAATAGCAATCCTACAGCACTATTTCCTTTTCTTTGTAATTTTTCAGTATTGTTTCTGAAATAGGGTGCAAAATTGGCTGTATCTGTGCAACAGTTGGGCATGGAAATGCATGTCAGCACAATCCTCTCTGTATGCACTTGCCTTCCAACAGCATAACTGCCTTTGAACAGTCTGAGTGTGCTTGGCAGCACACTGAGCTACTGAGTATCGTAGGCATGCAGGATCTCATGTTAAGAGCTTCAGGACGTACTTGAAGGCTCTGTGTCTTATGGAGAAAGAATCTCGTCTTTGAGTGTTAGCCTTAGGGAAGCCTTCAAAATGTATGTTCAGACAATAAGGTGGTATTAATTTATAAATTTATTAGAAAGTTAAAGGAGCTGGTAGAGTACTGCAATTTGTATCAGTTTGTTTTCAGGAATGTAAGGAGGATTTAATTTTTCTGATAAAATAGACATGGAGTGTAATGGGAAAGATGGTTGGTTTGAGAAATAAGAAATGTGAGATGCCAAATAAGCCACAAAACCGTTTGGCCTACCAGTTGTGAGGCAGGCATGAGAAGGGGTTACTGTAATGAGGAAGAAGATAAAAGTCTGACATTGATAGTCATACAGTGTATTTAATGGCCCCCTAAGAAATCAGTCCATGTGAGCATGTCTCTGCTGCTTATGTGCTCTGTCTGAAGTTGAACCAAAGAGACCATTGCAGCAAAGAAGCTAGGGGAAATACTAAAGAGTAGGGAAGAAGCTGAGTATAGTAGTGCTGGTGAGGTAGGGACATGAGAGGACTGTAGGAGAGGAGCAGGTACATGCCCAGTGTAAGTCCTTGTACTAACTTCTTCCATGACCTGTGTTGAGTAGCATCTGGTATTTGTAGCTCTTCCCTCGGCACCATCGTAATACTTTTAATTCTGAGGTCACTGCAGTGGAAAGACAACTGTAGAATTAGCAGTGCTTTGGACCTCGTCCTTGATGTGCAAGCCATAGTCAAGTACTTAGGAACAGACTGCTAACGAATTTAAAAAAAAAACCAAACCCAAAAAATCAACCCCAAAATCACCACCACCACTCCCAAAATAAACCCCGGAGTGAGCAAACATCGCAGCCAAATTACTCTGTAATTAACAGACCAGTAAAAATTCCCTGAAGGTGATGGTCAATATGCAGTTACTCAAATGATGTGAAAGAGCTCTGTTATACTCTGAGTAGTGTGCCAAGGTAGGGTAACTGGAGCTACACTGGTGTAAAAATGAAGAGGAAGTGGGACCCAGTGTCCAGATTTACAATGATGGAGGCAGGAAATAAGGTAGGGGGTGAAGGGTAGGGAATAAGGAGGAAAATATGTGTTGGGAAACAGAGAGCAGTGGTAGTTCTGTAAAGTATTTTTGAATCAGGGTCTCATTGTAAGGTTTTGAATCTGTATGGACACCTGTGTGATGACTGTAGCTTACATCATGTTGGGCTCTAGACTGTATTTTACTCTTTTTACAGTATTTTTTTACCAGGGTCACCCCAACAAGGCATATCTGTAGACAGATTTGCAGTCTGAATAGATCACAGTAAGAATTTATCTGTCTTGTTTGTTCTGCAGAGTTGCAGTCCATGCAAGTGATGAACTTTGAGTAATTGTGTAAGCCTTTTTAGCAGAGGTCAACAAGGTACTGTGCATAAAGATACTGGTATCTTTTAGGATCCAAATCAATGATATCAAATATCTGTTTATGTTCTACATACTATTGGGCAATTTAAAAAATATCTATTGCTTTATTTTAGTACTATCTAAAAATAAAATCAAAATAGTTAAAGAAGGCTTCCTTAAAGCCACTTATCCTTGCTGCAGTTGGTAACTGGGGTGTCTTGTCACCCCCCCATGCTATGATACAGATGCTGGGAAGAGAATAATGCTTTCCCTTTCTCTTCTTTCTGATGAGTCTGAGTGCTGCAGAGTTCTTCATTTACTGTACTACTGAATTTCTTTCTTGCTGTTTTGAGTTGTTCAGATACTATGAACTTAGCTTAGTTTAGTATAAGTTCAGGAAATGTAGTATGTGGGATCTAGTTGTCATTTATTATTGTTGTATAATGATGACACAGAGTCTTAACTTGTTAGGATTGTCTTTAATTGGACCAGGCTTTTCCTATATAAGAGTGATGCTCTTATTGTTAGAGCTTGTTTCTAGTTCTTCTCTTTCTCTTGATGCTTATCAGTTTTTTGGAGCTCAGTTATCTCTCTCTCTCTCCAGCTTACCAGTTTTTTGGAGCTCAAGACAGTTCATCTTTTCTTGATACTTTTATATGGGGCCTGTAATTATTCCATGGATTTCAATAAGGATTTTTTTTTTTTTTTTTCTACAAAATTTTTGCTACATTTTTGCTTCTGGTCACGAGCGGTGTTCCCCAGGGCTCAGTACTGGGGCCGGTCTTGTTCATTATCTTTATCAATCATTTGGATGAGGGGATCGAGTGCTCCCTCAGTAAGTTTGCAGACGACACCAAGTTGGGCAGGAGTGTTGATCTGCTCGAGGGTAGGAAGGCTCTGCAGAGGGACCTGGACAGGCTGGATCGATGGGCCCAGGCCAACTGTATGAGGTTCAACAGGGCCAAGTGCCAGGTCCTGCACTTTGGCCACAACAACCCCATGCAGCGCTACAGGCTTGGGGCAGAGTGGCTGGAAAGCTGCC